CATTTCGTAGAAAAAGAGGCGCAGGAGCTCATTAGCATAACTTATTTGCATATGCCACACCCCCTGAAATCACCGGAAGTGTGTCAGAAGGTGTAACGATTTCATGTTTAACTCTGTGTGTGTGTCTTTAAAAGTTTGGATGCATGGCTGTATGATAGTCTAGAGTAGTGGAAACAAACAAGTGGTGTGATTGGTGAGTGACAAAGAGGGGGAGGGGTTTTGGAAATGATTCTGTGTGGATGAGCAGATATGTCAGTTGAAGAAGTCAGTTAGAGATGACAGTTGATAAAGTTCAGTTAAGTTCTGATTTCTGGGAGAGAAGCAGAAGTTCTGTGTATGAGAGGAGTGAGACCCATCCCTGTGTGGGATGAGTTTAGTTCTGGGGTCTGAAGGAGAGACCTTCTTGTGTGTGATATGAGAGTTAAGTGCTGTGTCTGAAAGAAAGTGACAAGCAGTTCTGTGTTGAAACAGTTATAAGCTGAAGCTGTGTCTAGGAAACAGTAAAGATTATATGGACTTGGAGGAAAAAGTGATACAAAGTTACCTAAGGAAAAATCCCTGTCAGTAGGGAGCAGACTGTGTGTTATACCTACTTTACTAGTTACATGGTTCTACCCTCGTATTTATGCTTTCTTTAAATAAATCCTATTTCATTCAAGTATACCAGCTCTGGAAAGAATCCTTCCTCAGACCACATAGTTCCTCGAAAGCTTAAACCCTCGATCCACCTACCCTGTGATAGAAATAGTAAAGCATAAAGGTTTGGAAAGCCTTATATTTCCTGGTGGCAGCCGGATTACCCAGTAGAGAAAAACATAAAGTACACTTTTAAAGGGAAACCAGACCTCCCCAGTAAAGGGGTCGTCACAGAAGGCAACACCCACCACTCAGGCTCCACTGGACTGTTTTGGATTGCTAGCTATCGGGGGGGGAGTGCAGATCTGTCCTCGCAGAAGAGGGAGAGCTTGTACCTGAATAAAACTTGGTCTTAAAGGTGCCACTGGACTGTTTTGGA